ACCAGAATACTTCCGAGTGCCTTCGTCTCTCATCCAGAGCGGATAACGAGGGTGATTTTTCACTTTAGGCAAAATTTTTCCCTCTTGATAGTACATGCGCACTTCTTATTAGCTTTGCTGATTGTCTCAATGCTTTTTCTTCTCTTTTCCATAAAAATCTCCGCAAAAACTTCCCTCCCAGCTGGATTCGGACTGCAATTAGTTCAACGGTTGCGGCTGTTCCGTCGCGCCCTTTCGCCCTCCCTCCGCTGCACCCGAAAAACTTTCTGAAAAACTTTGTGTCCTTAACCTCATGTCTTCATTATTGTTATTGTTGGCAACATGTTGAGGAGCAGCCGAGATGTGTATTACGTCGAGAGCTGGCGACAGCGACCTGGTTCTTATTCTGGTCAACTCTCGGGTTCTCACTGTGCTACCCCTTCTAGACATCCTCCTTCTCGAACCCACTCGAAATCCTCTCCACGGTAGTCCACGTCCATTACTCTGTAATCGTTGTTCACTTTGGCTACGTTGCCGCTGTTGCGCTTGCTGTTGCTGCTGCTGCTGATTTGCATTTCCATCCTGTTCTAGTGTTGCTAATCTTTCCACTGCATTACTCGAGGCGGATCGAACTTGTTGCGCAACAAAATTTCTCATTATTTCCACTCGTCTGATTTGCATTCGTGCACGACTCGCTGCTCCTAATCGTCTCGGCTGAAAACATATTTAGATTTACCTCAGCACAGCAAAGGCTGGCCATGTTTTTCATGTAATTTTACATCACAGTTGTAGCAGTAGCGGTGAAGTGCAATTATGCTGCTGAAAAGGAATGTATACGACTTAGGACCGAAACTTTTCTTTCGCGTTTTATTCTTTTTCTTTTTTCTTTTTACAAGTTATTTTTATTCTTATGTATCTCTTTCGCATTACTGGAAAAGGCAGGGTTGTCAGTGCGGATGAAGAATCCGTTTTGAATGGCTATTTGGAATTATGTGGATGAGAGAAGTCCAAAACAGAGAAGAATGGAGAAATTGCCGATTGCATCGATGGCGAGAAGGAACACAACGGTGAACCAATAGCTGACAAATGGATGGAAGCAGCACCCAATAACTGACAAATGTATGGAAACAATACCCGCTAGATGTCTTGTAAAAGTAGCACACGCTCAGTAGCTTTTAGCTTAGTCATCTACATACGATTCTAGCTACCATTTCAGAAAGAACCTCCTCCTCCTTGATCTTTTGTGTGCTCCTTCTATCTTACACGAATTGGTACCAGACCAAAAAATTTTTGAAGAATATCGCATTTACCAATGGCAATATGCTTAATGCGAGAGTTTGCTGTCCATCCCCCGCGCCGTTGAGAATCAAATTGCCAATGTAAAAGGTATCGCCATCCGACATTTTACGGCCTGCTGCACTGTTTGTGCAGTATTTTGGTGGAGTGGTCCCAGCAGTGCGGTCAGTACGACATCATTCAATAACAAAAGTAAAGTTTCATTTTCAATCCAACTTTTATACAAGCCCTTCAATTTGCATACACCGCTTTGGGGTTTCAGCAGCACTCATCACGATGATCACTGAAAATTACCGCATCCATAAATGTCAGCTTACAAATTGTCGGATCTCGGCACTTTTTATGAAAATAGCGAGAATGTCCTTATGAGTTTTCATGCTTTTTTGCATATATGCAAATTGCAAAAACGCATATTGGGAAGAGGCTGTGTGTGTGTGTGTTCGCAC